TATGATATGCAGTCGGGCTATGGTAGTTTGAAGTGAGAAGTCTACTGCCGGTTACTAGACATTTTTGCTGTATGAGTATACGTTGCCCAGGGTGCACCATGTGGAGGTAAGTCTATCGCACACCCCTGGAGTCATTATTAATAAATTAAATTAAATTAATAAATTTAACTTAGCAGTTTTCGGAAGGTGATTACTCACCAGCACATGAAATGTTTTTTCTTAAATCTGTCCCTTTTTTGCCCGTTAATTTTGAGCTAGTCAGAGTGGCTTGTACATTTTAGTTCATTGCCAAGTTTGACGGCTTTTAATTTATAAAAATTCGATTTTATTATCCTTAACAGCAGTGAGTTAAACTGAGTGCAATTTAAATAATCTGCAAATGCTTTACCCATATTTTACCCAAATTCTGCTTCGTTTATATAGCGACAGTTAAATCAAAGGCCATTAGATCGTCTTCTTTGACGTTTGGCTGGTGAATTAGTTCTTAAATGCGATTACTAATCGTTATCGATTTAGATGTCTCAATATGATAAGCTTTAAGGTGTCGCCTTAGTGACTTAGTTGAGTGTTTGAAATTTTTTCGCTTAACGGTGCTTACTTGCTTTTTGAATAGTCTATCCATGTTTTTTTGCATTTAGTAGCCTACCGTGAAAATGAGAAGTCGTCAACTCCACTAAAATCTTGCGGAAATCTCGAAACCCAACTGTCTTTCCCCACAACAACAACTACACCTGAGCAGACAACTCAATCTAAACCTTCTTCCTCCTCCAATCCCGACATTGAAGACATTCTCATCTGCGGTCGATGTCGAAAATTGTTCGATACTGTGGACGAACTGCTTTCCCACAAAACCATGAATTATTGTGTGATTGGTGTGAATGACCGTGATTCTGAACATTCATGCCGTTGTAAAGCATGTGCGCTTATTCAAAACCTGCTAATTAATAATATCCTTTACTTCATTGTTTTTAATTGGACTTTTTTTAAATTTTAGTAGGTGAACCGGAAAGCCTGGGTTGTTACTTCTGCAATAAAAAATTTCTTAGTTCTTGGGAACTTCTTGAACACTATAGGCTGGAGCACAATTTAACAGCCTATAGGGTTCCTAAACCCCCTAAACCTTCTTCGTCATCAACTTCGAAACAAGAAATGTCCGTATCAGAACCAATTTTCACTTCGAATAATTCGAGGGTTAAAGAGAAGCCATTAGATTCACAGAAATCTTTGGAAAAGGAATCTAAATGTCAAGATGAGTTGGACGATTCGGTTGAGATAGTAGAATCTCCGGAGTCTTCAAATAACACAATTTGTATTTTGTCTGATGATGAAAATGATGATACTGAATGAAACGCTTTAATGTTTTCATAAATCTATTGTTTTCAGGATGCCTCCAGTATTAAGCTAGAAGTTATAATGCTTTAGTTGGTTCAACACCCAGGCATCCTATATCTCTCAATTTCTATCTCTATTGCTTTCCGAAGATAATATCCCGAGGCCAGAGTGCTTGATAGACTTTGTTCCACTTGATTACACTCTGGGCAACGTTTACTTATACGGCAAAAATCTATAAACTGGCAGTTGACTTTTCACTTCAGGTTACCATGGCTCGATTGTATGCCAAATTTGACCACTTTCACAATTATCACTTTTCCTTTTTCTCTACCTTTGTATCTGCCTCTTACATCCGTGCAACACTCTTCTGTTCCCTCCCCCCTCCACTTTTTTATTACTTTGATGTTCCTCCCCCCTGTAAATCCCGAAACCACCTGCCCTTTGGTATGAATATCCTGAAGTCTGTTCAAGAAATGTGCATAATGACACTGCGTTTTGTTGTCTTTCTGGCTTAGTATCAACAGACAAGTAAAAGGCTTATCTGACTTACTATAAATTCAGTTATCTTATCGATCTGTGACACAGTATGATCAACTTTAGTAATGACCACTTATGCAATGGTTACCTGGGTGTCATTTTTTCGATAGTTTTGTGTGCTTTGCTTTACTATCGTTGCTGGACTCTGGCTTATAATCTGAAAATATTTTTAATCAATATCGATGACTTCCCATTTAGCACTTGCAAATAGTGTTTGATTCTTTCTATTGAAGTTTCCGAAGCGTTGTTACTTTATTGAATGATATGAAATTGGATTTATTTGGTGACGTCATACGACGAACTAAGGGCAGAAGTCAATACAAGTTGGCAGTAAACTAAAAGAAATATTCATCAAACTGTTAAACCACGTTAAAGCGCAACATCTGCAACAACGACAAAAATTTGCTCGAGATGTAGGCAATGAAGATGCCTCTGCAAACAAGTCAGACCGTAAATATATTTAACCACAATAAACCTATCCTCCAAACCGCTATCACCTAGCTGATTGCGCTATGAATAGCATTATTCAGAGTTTTGTCATTTAAATCATCATTCGTGCCAGCGGCGTGTTAAAATGGGTCGTCAAGAAGCAAAAAGCCTTTCAATAAAAAGTATAGACAGCCTTCAGGTAGAGGGAAGATGAAGATTCCAGACAAATGGCCGTAAAACAAAAGCTACCGTAAATACCATGGATATAAGAGGGCGGTTGGCGCACAAATAAATAAATTTCATACCTGAATAAGAACTGATTCTCAGGGTTGTTTGAAATGAGTCAATGAAACTGAAAAGTCCAAATGGATAAATCAAGTCTTTTAATCAAATCACAGTCCAATCAAATTCAATTTTTGCTTATAAGCTTTTTCCTGATTTTTAAGTAGTCTGATATAGACCCAGATCTCTTCTACCTTTCTCGGAGGTCTGAATTAGTGTATCATGCTTCTATAGCAACAGTTTTACGAAATCGAAAATCTTGCTCTACTTACTTGGGGAATGACTTGTACTTCATACTATAATCCGTTACCGCGTTAATATCCTATCTAATGTTCCGAGAAAAATATATTTGAAAATGGATCATATGTTAAAATTTTGGGCTAAGTTTGTGAGAGCACTAGTTGAGTAGTTGAAGTATATTGTTTCAAATGGTGAAGCATTATTTTTGCAGACTATTTTATTATTACAATTTTGAAATATTTCTAAATGAGCATGGTATAGAATTTAAGGACTTGAGTAGTCTGCGGCAAGGGGGCTTTGTTTCTTCCACTCGACTGATCAATCAGTCATTTGGTTAATACTCGATTGGAGGGCAAAGGCACTCCTCAAGACTTTGCTCTTGTTCAAACGGGTGTTTTCATAGAACCCTTTAAATAAATTAAATTTTGTTGAAATTGTAAGTGGCATTCAACCTATCGACGGTGAAGGCGTGAGTAAGATTCACTTCAGTCTGTTTCCAATGATGCCTGGTTTGTCTATTCAAACAGACCAGATGCGTCATCCCAGTGATTATCTGAGATTATTCAGAGTTAACGAGTTGGCTATTAGAACTAGAAAATTTATATCGAATGCCAGGCTTTATGAAAGTTATCATTAGCGCGTTGGTTGACTTCGGTCTTTACAGAAGGGAAGAACATCAAGGTTGCAAAAAGTGGCAAGCGAGAAGAGTGGAGTAGTAAAAGGTTAAGATTCTTACTGTGGAAATAATCGAATATTGCATGCAGTCGTGTTATGGTAGCTTGAAGTCAGTTGTCAACTGCCAGCTTATAGACCTTTTTGAGGTTTGAGTATACGTTGCTCAAGGGGGGGGGGGTTGAGCGATAGACTTACCTCCACGTGGTGCACCCTGGGAAACGTATTCTCATACGGCTAAAAAGTCCATTAATCGGCAGTTGACTTCTGACTTCAAACTACCATCACCCCACTGTATGTCATATTCCACCACTTTCACAGTACTCATCTAGCCTTTTCTCTGCCTTTGTGTCTGTCTCTTTTACATCTTTGAAACACTCTTCTGTCCCTCCCCTATCGAATTTCTTTCACCTTGATGTTCCTTCCCCTCTGTGAAGCCTGAAGTCAACTAAAAGGCTAATGGTAACCAAACAATATATATATGATGAACAAGTGTGAAACAAATGGATAAGAAATTTTAAATCACTCCCGATTTTAGGCTATTGGTTTTTAATAAATGAAAATCGACAAACTATGTGATTTGAGTAGTTATTGGGAGGAGAGGTGCCTTATATTCCAAACTCTAGGGTTCATAAAATTTAAACTTCTAAATTTGTTTCATTTTGCAACGATAGTACTTTTAAAATAGAAGTGAACCTTCTCGATTCCAGCCTACTTAGACTATCGATACGGTTTGCTTTCCATAACGCTTTGGGAATGCCATTGACGAGAGGTCTCATGATTCAAATCATTTGCCTATTAACCTAAGCCCTATGCTACCTGTTAATGTTATTGCAGAGCAACCAAATACTTCTTATATGACTTAGAATGTCATTCACTCAATTCCGTAGAAACAACACTGCTGTCGAGTCCCTCTGTTCTCACACTATATTCCTATATTCCAGGGTGCGCGATAGACCTACCTCCACGTGGTGCACCCTGGGCAACGTATACTAATACGGCAAAAAAGTCTATTAACCAGCAGTTGACTTCGGACTTCAAGTTACCATCACCCCACTGTATGTCATATTACATCACTTCCCAGCACTCATCTTACCTTTTCTTTATCTTTGTCTGTCTGTTTGTCTCTCTTACATCTGTGACTCACTCTTCTGTCCATCCTCTCGGATGTTTCCCACTTTGATGTTTCTCCCCTCTGTGAAACCCGAAGTCAGCTAAAGGGCTAATGATAACTGTCAAAACGCCTGCCATTTGAAATAATAATAATAATAATATTCCTATATTCCTAGGTGGTCTAAGGACTAATGCACCACATTTCCAATTTAAGTCTCATTCTTCTGGTTTTGAAAAAGTAATTTATATGTTTTTAGCCTAATCCAGGCAGATTGTACATGATGTTTTACTTAGGATAATGCAATAATGCATGGAGGAGGAAACTGACCAAGGAATTGTCATTCCCAACATTACAAACAGAGCTATTATAAAATAAGTGGAAATTGAAGAAGAAAGGAGAGGAAATATTACAATCGTGAGCTCGAAATAAGAACGTGGAAAAATAATGGGAGTTTTCGGGCGTATCCACAATATGCCACTATTTCAGAGAATGAGAATATCCCTTAGTCCAACCCAGTGTTTTCGCCTGAGACACACAATTTTCCTTTCTTCCATGATCAACTTAATATAATCCAAGTTAAGTATTGAAGTCTTCTCCATTCTGATAACTGGAGTAGGTGTACCATCATCGATCTTGTGCATTGGGTTTCCTTCAATTATTGATGCAAGAACTTGCAACAAGTCCAGTTTAAAATAGGGAAAACAAATTATTTAATCCAAGTAATACTTTAAAAATATGGAAATAAAGTTGTCATGCTTGTTAATCTTCAATAAAATCTGGTTGGGGTTTGGGAGAAATTGCATTTGGTTATAAGTAGAGGGCTAAAATTTGTACAAAAGTGCGTCAAGATTATGTTATGGAATGTAAAAAGAAGGTTGTCATGGTGTTGGTGGAAGAGAAGATGCCATTAGATTGCTTAAAGATGTTAATTTGGCACTGGAATTTGAAATTCCCTCTTCATTACTTTTTTTGATTAGTTGCATCAGTTCTTCCTCTAAAAAATGAATGCCACAATTAATTACATGCTACTGAAATGTTGTAAGTAGATGGAGGTTTTATAATCATACTCTGAAGGAAATTCGAAAGTTTCTTATCGCCTGCAGCTAGAGCAAGCGCACTTGGTGTATCCCCATTGATATCTTGACAAATTGCACAAGCACCAGCTCGAACTAACACTTCGCAAGCTCTCCGACGTTTAGCTGCAGCAGCTTTATGCAAAGCTGTTTGTTTTCTGAAAGTTAAAATGAAATTACCGAAACTACCCATAGCATATTAGTAAATGAACTAAAGTTCAACAGTATATGATCTACTTGTCGTAATCTTGCATGTCCAGTAGTTCTTTGGGTGCTATGAAATAAACGTAGACGATAAATATAACACCTCGTACTCCTAATCACGTTTGAACTTAATAGACACCTACCATTTTGCGTGAGGAAGTTAAGAATGTTAATACGGCCAAATTTCGCCGCATGGTGTAAGCCGGTTTTACCGGTTATTGGATCGGATATCAGCGGTGATATGCCAGCTTCCAATGCAGACTGGACGTCTTGAATATGACCTGCTCGACAGGCGGATAAATAATCTAGAAAGTGTAAAATCGGAAATCAGGGGCTCGATAACCAATAGATGTAAACTCAGTGAGAAAAGTAAAAATCCGCCTTTTTTAAATCGACCAATTAAAGGTAGTTTCAAGTTTCTCTTCTAGGAGGCTTCATTTCACTACCTCTTTATTCAACATGAGTATTTGAATGAATTTAAAAAAGACTACAAAGGGCATAAATATGTGAACAAATACGCTATGATAAAATTCTTATTTAATTCAGTCACGCTAAACAATGTGAAATACATAGTTAGCTCCCAACTAAATATGGTTCAAAATGATTTTATTACTTACAAGTGCGCAAATTATTCCTTATCACTCTGTGTGTACTAGGCGAAAAGCCGGGATCACTAGTCACTGATATTTTTGCCACCCGAGGCTCCTTAACCGGAGAAGACGGTTCAGCCACCGAAAGAAGACTACTCAAGGACTGAACGGGGTCTGGAGCCATCCCAATAATACCCTCCTTCACTCTTTTACACGTCACCAAGGAGACAAGGATCTTTGGCGGCATGCGTCGCCATCTTCGCCAATCGGGGAAACGTTTTCGCTGTTGAAATGCCGAAGAGGTTGAAGGGATGTAATAATCAATATCATCTGTGTCCACAAAGTTGACTTCCTGACGGCTCAGCTTTCGAATTACATCAGTGAGGTTTTCTTGAGAGACTGAATTCAAATTTGGACAGGATATGGATGTGTCGAGATGAGCGGTGAAACTGACTTCCTTATAGACACTGCTCCGAAGACATATTGTAGATCTAGAACAAATTACGATTGCTGAATATATTTCAAGATTCCCATTGCGAATTGAAATGTTATGAAATAATATAATCAGGTAAACAAGGCATTTTTAATTATCAAGTTGTCAACTTTTCTTTAGCTTGTATTGAGTTTATACATTTATAGGCAGGCGACTCGAATCTATTTACCCCATTTTGAGTTTGAAAATTTTGTTCAAATGGAAAAGATCAATAACTCAATTTCGTTCTGACAACAATATAGTGGTGGTAAAGATGAAAACCTGATGAATTCAGAATTCAAATTAAGTAGTACTTTGTCAATGCTGTCAGCTTCAATGTCAACTGCAAATTAATGCCACATAATTGTAACTCTAATCGAAAAATCGGCCATTTACCGAGATTAGATAGTCCTGATAAATGAGACTTCATTTCTATGGCTGATAAAAATATGTTGCCCAGCACTAGAAAAATCTATGTGAAATGAGGAGCGAAATGAACATTAAGCGATCAAAGACTAATGATTTGATACCCATCGACATATATCCAGCTTAGGCGACACTATATGTTTACAGTAATATCACAGATTTTCTCAATAAAGGAAGCGTTTCATTTGTTCATTTCCTCATCGTCTGTCAATTTCGCACCTTCATTCTACCGTTAATAAATGATACATTAACTGATCCCAGTCTGATTCGAAATGTTTCGTATTTTGTACTACCTACTGACAACCTCTTTTCTTTATCATATTGTAGCTTCTTAATCTTCTAGCTTCGGATAAATTGAGACTGACAGTTATCTTAAAATTTTTAAGTATTAACTCACTACTATGGGAAGCCCAATTGGCTAGGGGAAACTATGACCACGAAATGGCACTTGATTGTAACTTATTCAAAGATTCTAATCCTAAACCCTGATTTAAAACAAACAATGGATTTCGAGGTCCCTGAACTCATATTCCTCTAATGTCCACTTGGGAGGAGTCGAAACATCTCAATACGAAAACGCAATAAACCTACAGCGATTTGCATAACGTTGATCTCTTTGGTTGATAGTCACAACACTCCTTTCTCTCCATTGGTGTTATATTTTCCCACATCATTTGTGAACTCTCCGATGACTTTCTCGAAATTTCTAGAAATAAAGGCTTATAATTTCCAAGTAGGGATACCTTCAGAGCTATTTGAACGAAGTGTATCCGGAAGATTATCGTATTTTCCATCTTGACTAATCAAGAAGAGCTCACTGTCATTTGACAAGATGTCTGTGATGAAATGAGCAGATTCCAAGCACGAATCAATTCCATACACTTGCCCATTGATTGCGGTCACTAGAACGAATTGGATTAAAAAATATTATAATAAATTATAGCTACTAATTCAATATGAGTAGAATTGATTGCTTACTATCTAAAAATATCCACTTATTGGGAAGTTTAATTGATTCCCCCTTTGAACTATGTTTACCATGAGAATGCTTAATTTGTCGTCTAACCGAAGTCAAATCTGAATAAGCTCCTATCCGAAGGCTTGCAAAGTGCTGAGCTGCAAAATTAAATTCGGATTATTCTACGATTAAGACTTTAATAACTGAAATGCTAACGATATTCCAACCTGTCTTCATAAGATGATCGAAGGATTGCAGTTTTTCGCTTGGATCCGGGTAAATTATAAAGATTTTCACCAATCGACCACTTGTATTTGTAACGCCGAAACTGACAAGGTATGAGCATATTAGTATTAAGTAAAGCCATTTAACAAACACCCGAATTGCATCAAATCGTGAATGTAAAGAGCGTTATGAGTTAACCGCACACTGAAGAATAGAATAAAATTCATTTTTCCGATGAAAGTGGATTTTGATTGTTATGAAAATGGACAATTTTAATTTTGAAAGATTGTTTTATTTAAGCGGTTAGAAAACGCAGTTGAAGCAATTGTTTTTAAACCTTTTTTTCTCAAATCAAATACACGATAACCCGATTGCTTTCAAGCATGGGCATTTGCTATTGAAATGAAAAAAATAGAAAAAATAATGTCTTCCAGCTTTATGCTGTTTACCACGAACTCTCAAAAAAAATTTTTAAAAATGAAACTATTCTCAATAGTAACGATATTTACATTAAAACAAAGATCATTTAGGGCGAAAATTAAACCATAATTATGATATTCTGCTTTAAGTTTCTTAATTATTGGTCTGAAACGGTGACTTACTGTGCTGGAGAATTGCCTTCAATCCTCCGAGTTTTCTGTACTACGTGAGCTTGATTTCTCAGTTGAATCTCTATGATCGATGGTCCCAGTCGGCAAGGTTCCCCATCAATTTGCATAGGAATTGTCTTTCGAGTTGTGAGTATCACTTCTGAGCACTGGCATATTCGATCGCCATGTCCTCCCATTTGTAATGTTGCCTGCAAGAACAAGTGACATTAGAGAGTTGTCGATCAGTTTAAAGTTCTCTCTCTCCCTGTGTTTAATAATCTATTGACTTCTTGAAAGATGAAGCGTTCGGTGATCAGTCAATAGAGATCTGGGGTAACGATTAAGAACTACTAACATAGAGTCCTCAAGACCCCAAAGAGAGTAGGTTTTGGCTTGAATATAGGTGACATTCTTGTTAATTAAAGACGTTTAAATGGACAAATGGGATACCTATTAAGACACGGGAGGTTAATAACTACACAGTCTCCGTTTTCCAAAAAGAGTTTACTAAATGATCAGAAACTAAGAGCCTACGTAGACGAGCTCATCTCTACCTTCTTTCGCTCCTGTTTTTCTGTAATGCTGTTAGAGGCTCGTTGATTACTTAATTGCTAATGCTGAGCAATAACGCATCCACGGAAATTAGCAATCGTTTGGATAATGCTTGAATCGCTTAGTTATAACAGCTTAAGTGAAACAGGGCACTCTGCGTTGATATCATGGAGACATGACATGCAAAAATCAAGCGAACATATAGAGCTTAAGCAGTGGCCAAATGGCTCACAAATCTGCATAAAACACACACTTGCTTGTACTCCCATTTCTATTTACGCTTAATTAATTAGGAAAGTTATTTTGAAGTCATTTAGTGCCTTCGTGATCTGATTATTATTGCATTATAACTCACATAGCATGAAAGTCACCCTAATCGATTAACGGAAATTGACAAGATGCAATTAGCAAAGGTAATTGAAGATCATCTCCAATGTATGATTTATGAAGTTTGATTATACAATACTTACTTGATGGGCAATTCGTTGCCCAAAAATCTAATTTCCTGATTCACGGGGAATGGTATGTCTCTCGCATAACGTGAGAGAGCAGAATGATTGATCATCAAAATACGTGTGTCAAAACTCTTCTATAGCAATTATAAGCGATATATTGTCCATAAAAGTTAATTTTTCAATACCTATAGGCCAATAAACTCAATGTAGAGCAGTAAAACTAGAACACGCAGACAAATAGATTTTTCTAAGGCAAAAACTTCATAATTTTGAAAGTCCACAGAAAAGGCTAGTGGCAAATGTAGGATAATTTTAAATATCTCAAATATTGACTAAGGTGAAACAATAGAGAAACTTTCAAAGAAGCCGTCACTCAATTATTTGTGAGTCTAGAAAATTGAACTTAACTAAAAATATGCAGAAACAGGGACAGAAAACCGGGTTCATAGTAACACTTTGGATCCGAAAAGTCAATCAAATATTTCTGGCACTTTTTTGGGACTGTTTGACAGGAGAATTAACTATTTTTAAATGCTTCATGTCACATAGATGGCTACTTATCAAAATTCAATTTTAGTTAGTATGAAGCATTTTCATACAGTAGTGAACAAGAGAAAATGGCAAACTCAATCAACTGCATCTTGCCATGTTCCATCCAAATTAAAAGCTTTTAGGCCCAAAGCAAGATATGAGTACTTTTAGATAATGTTTCGATATCAATGAATTTCCTTTTAAACTCTTCACTGATAAAAATTTCCATTCAATCACACCGCCTTGTCTTCTATTTACTAACAAATTTGACCACATTGTTTACTGAATAAGCATCGATGAGCTTTGAAACTACAATTTTTGATTAGACAGACGAGGGGAACTCGACGGTCACACTGTTGGTGCACATGTGGTACACTTCATCGCATGCCTGCACACCAACTGTGGGACACGTTATCGCTCTGTGCATCATCGTATGCCTGCATGTCTGCTCACCAAGATTGGGAGGTGCGGCCGTACAACTCTGTGTGCAGCGACCGTCCAAACAGTGACCAATCATCAACCTCTGCTTAACCTAATCCCTCATCCTGATCATGAGTAGCTCCATGCGTGTACACTTGATCCTGAATATACGTCCTGAATAAACGTGCTCCGTGCTGCGCGTCTGTTTTCTTTATAGCTGGGCGATAGCTTAGCTGGTTCTGGGAGTCTAGCTAGATGTAGGAGAATTTGCCATAGAGATTTCGGAGTCGGTTAGGCTTTACTAAGGTAGCGATCCTCTACACACATATTAATTACAATCTTGTTTATGTTGAACGTCGTTAGGAGTCAAGAAAGATTCTACACCCTACTGAGGAGTCTTAAATGGATACATTATGAACTATAGGCAAAACTAGATTCTCAATAACGAATTGTTAAAGTGCCCTGATGTAGTCACTTTAAAGTTCAATAAAACCTACCAACGAAGCCGTAGAAAGTCCGATGACCTCGATTTTCTTATCATCAATTCGTTGTTGTTGATCCATTCCTGACGAATGACCCCAGGGAACAGTTCCTGCACTATACCTAAAGACAGTCGTTCAATCATTTCAATACTATGCTTAATGTTATTTTCGCATTTAAAATTCGAAGCTTGATTAAGCTTACTTTGGAATGTTCAGAAATAGCAATACATGCGACCGAAGTTCTTGCAATTTATTGTTCATATTAACGCCATCGCACTAAAGAAAATTTCAAAATTCAGGAATTTTAATGCAAAAAAACAATTATCCAGTTTTATTTTAATGTCAAGAATGTCAAGGAAAGGAGTAGAAAAGTCGCACTATTTAACTAACTAATTTAGCACTTCAAAGTTAAAGGGCACTGATAATTCACGTAATGTTATCATTTTTAAGCGAATATTTGAAATTTATTTAGAAATAATGAGCTATGCATGAACCACGTATTCTATAAATTTATGCCAACTGGCAAAAATTTCGAACGAAGTTATAATTAATTTAATTAGGAATGGCGTGTTAGGCTCGATTTGCGCGCTTGAGTTCCAGTTAGTTATTTGAAACAAACTAACCACGAGGGTGACGTAATCGGAGAGATCTCGCCAGGTTCGCTTTATCAAATCCATTCCACCAACCTGAAAGGCAAACGTTTACTAATTAATCAAAATATTGTTAAAAACACAATCACTAACTTCAAGAGGCGTCATATTTACCCCAGCATAAAAGATCTTGTTCTTCAATCGACTGTTGAATCGATCTGGATTGGCTTCTGAAAAAGGTAACAGTACGATCACATTAATTCAAATAAAAGGAACCACCAATTAGTTAGAATTCATATTTTGAAAGAAATGTAATATCAAATAATAAGAAACAGATCAATTGAAACAATCATTTTATTTTCAAAAATATTCAGATGTTTGATGATTAAAATGAGTGACTTTAACAGCCAAACCATAATAGTATAACTTGAATGCCAAAAGGTTCATGGAGGAAATATTCCCTTAAATTTGAAGATGGGAACTGCGAGAAAATATCAATATTTTTGTTTAAAAAAATAGACTTGAACAAAAAAATATTCTATGCTTCCAATTTTGTTTACCTTAACAATAATTTGCTTGTTCAATGCATTAGGCAGGAGAATGGTTAGACCTCTTAATTAGCTAGCTCTGTGCCGTTAAAGACAGGTTAGCCATAACTCTAATGCTCTTAACTTTGACGTTCGTAAAATATCTGCTCGAAGTTACTTACGACAGACTAAAATGTCTCCACTAGTTAATAGGCCACAAATTTACTCCAAAAGCGGGAAGTGGAAGATTTATACCTGCGAATGCAAGGCAGTATGGCTTATAAAGCCTTCAAACTGAAGTTAAAAAGTGCTATTTAAGACCCATTCCCACTTCAAGGAAAAACCAACCTTTTCCCAAACCCTAATATGACTTCGCTACGCTTTCCCTGGTATTCAATTGCATTCCCATGATGAAAATTGTAGATGTTTTCTTTCCTTACCTCAGGTAAAAATAAATATCTTGAATTTGTGAACCCTTTGAAACGAAGTCAACGCCTAAGGTAGAGACCATTTTGTAAGCTAACCCCTTTACAGCTTCAAATTAATTATTCACAGCAAGATTGAAATAAAATGAGAAACGTAGTGTAAAAATGGGTAATGAAAGAGACCACAGAAGGCCTACCTCTCGTTAATAACATAAAACTAGGATAATTTGGATTTACTAGTATAATATAGGAAAGATAGAAAGAAGAGATCTTATGCACATCGATTAATTAAGTTAATCGATGATATTTCACAAAAGAGCTATTAAATTTGACAGGTATTCAGCTAAATACTCCCATTAAATGTATTTTACCATCTCCCAAATAAGTTAGTGATTAAGGTTGTTTTTTAATTTAATATCTTTTCTCCTCTAATAAATTTTGGAATAAAGTTTTCAACTCTAATGAAATAAATTAAATAGGTCTTCTGATTAGGCAAAAAAGGTTTAAAGGAAACTCGTTAAGCAGTTAAACGTTTTGAGAGTAAAAAATAGCATTTTTTTCAAAGTCGTAAAATAGTCCACCTCCCAACAACATTTGAAACTATTTTAGGTAATTTTTTGATAAATGTTTTTTCAACCGTCTACCCGTCTACACAAACCTAACGAATAGACTTTTGAAACCAGTTTAAACAAATTTAATGTTTAATTCGTTTCGCGTATAATGCAAATGGCTGGCTGGTTTAAATGCCTGCAATAATTCGTCAAAAATCTAAAATATCAAATCTCCAATCGTATTCAAATAATGCGGTCACAATTCGACATCGCAGACAAACACATTAAATGCTACAACACCAGTGCACTAGAATAAAAAACACAGAATTAATCCCAAAACTGTTCACTACTAAGAACATTCCTTTGCAATTCGATTGCGTTTAATGAGGGGTGATAAACCTTCAAAGGATCCGTCTGTATACGAATGAAAATAGCTCTCGATATTGTTTGAGGGAGAATTTTAATCAAACTTTCTGTTCCCTCCCCACCCCCTCTCGACTTTCTTCCACTTTGATGTTCCTTGCCCTCTGTGAAGCCCGAAGTCAACTAAAGGGGTTATGATGACCATCAAAACGCCTGCCATTTGATATAAATAAAGATTACCATATTCAAGACTATTCCATCCACTCCATTCATTTCAAAAATAATTATTGCGCAAAAAATTTGCCTTCACTCCATCTATTGTTAATAAATGCGTGAAAGGAACCAGCTGGGCAACTTTTCAGTTCAATTAAAACAATCTTTAAGACCCATTCTGCACACATTACTTTATATAAGGAAAATGAGTGGATAAAAATTTTTAAACGATAATGTAATAAACCAATTAAATCACAGTATTTTGAATTCCTTTTTTCCTAAGGAATCGCAATTGGCGGAACAAGCCTTGAACAGAAGTTATCATAAATGCACCATTTTCAATATCTTTGGAAAAGTCAACAAACTTAAAGAAGACATTCAGCATCAATAACGTCAATGACTAAATTTAACAATAAGCTGAAAAAAACTAGATTTTTTCCAAACAAGAAGAACAAAAAATTTGCTTGAACTTCTCAAACCTCCATTAAGATTTAATGTTGGGCCTCAGGTTAGGCGGTTCCTAATTGACAAGCGGTAAGAAAGTCTAGCTACATGAAATAGCTGAGAAATTTCAGTTTAAAACAATTGTTATTGAAGTGAAATTCAACCGACTAACAGCATATTCAACTTTTAAAGTCAGATGGAAATGAAATGACAAAAACGTTTAAATAAAGGCCCTGCCTATTTTCCGACACATACCTTGAGTGAAAGAGAAAAAAACTTTTAGCTACTCTAGTGAGAAACTCGAGTTTGCCATTAAGACCTAATTAGTTGGAGATGGCTACTCTGCTCACTGTCCATTTATAAAGTGAAATAAAATCCGTAGAATCCGACCTTGGTAACGTGGTTGTCTCAAAAATATGTCAATGACGTTTTATTCCAGATGCAATAGCAAAAATATACATTTGGAGACGAATTTGTTTTATTTTTACCACAATTTAATTGCAACTCACCTCTAGATTCATGAAACTCTAGTGCTGTGGCTGCATCAGCACCAAGAGAGAAGTAGTTGTTCATTACATTCAGGGGCAACTTATCCAACAGTTGAGCTCCACCAGACGAAGAGAGCTCCGCTTCATCTTCGAAGTCTGCGGCTTCTGTTGTCAACGGTCGGCTGGTAATGTCCCACCTAAACAGAGAAGGGAGATTGAGAAGAAAATGAGGTAGATAATGAACTTCTACTATATATCTCTACTAAATACCTCTTTACTAATCAGACATTTTCGTCGGTTGAAATGTCTTTGTGAGCTTAGGATGCTGCTATTCAACATAGGACTGTCGATTATGGCATAGATAGCTTTTAATAATTACTCTCTGAACGTCAGTTACTTATAATGCTAGACAATCTGTACTACTAACATCATGAAGTTTTTTCAGGTAACGTGTGTACTGGGATACTATTAGGAAGATTGATGTAATTTCATTAGAAATCTTAACATCTAGATGAACTTTTAATATCTAAATTGAATTAACTTCTATATACTACTATTTTTAGCAATTTGATATAGTTAGCTATCTGCCCATTTAACTTCAGCCACCTGTTATCATTCTGCTTCTACTAACACAATTGTTTCAGAAAAGAAACTTGCGGATAATATGCACCTGCATAAGACATTTCTCTTCACCCTTACCTACTGTACAATTGATCCAATCCTGTCAGAGCCAATCATTTGCATGTGAGATCTCTTCATGATGCACATTCTCCCAGCACTTATAAGCATTGCTTCTATCCAGTTAATTGCACTTAAAATAGGTCATTATGCGATCATTTGGTGTGTTAATGCCTCATTTCAAACCAAAGCATGCTTTCCTTTTAATTGGCTAGCAAGAAATGAAATTTTGGTAAGTATTCTTGTATTCAACTATTAAGAACGTCTTAAAATTATTTCACGGAGAGAGGCAAAATAGGCAGCATTGCTTTCATCGTCTGAGTTAATTAAAAAATTTGCAAATGCAAAATATAATTTAGATTTAAAATGATAACTCACCTATCTAGTAAAACAACGCGTCCTTCCTCAACGGAAGTAAGGAATTTTGAAAGAGGTTCGTCAGCATATCCCTAAAATAAGATTATCAAAAAAAGTTTAATCACAATTTCCATGATAGATTCAAAAATATACATTGCATAATTGCTTTGCATCTAGGTCTTCTAATCAGTTGAAAGGGAGAGGTGGATTTGATGAGTAATATCCCTGCACAACAAATGGACTTAAATTTCTGCAAAGGGTTGTTTTATATGAAATGTATAGTTGGAATTAGCAGAAGAATGCGCTCTATTTTACTAATTAATAGCAATTATTATAAGTAAAATGTGGAGGATAACGTCAAACTGGAAAAAATGACAATTAACGATTACAGGAGAAAGAAAAAACTGTAAAATGGAATTGGGTTAACATATCTTATTTCACCTAGTTGGTTCGATATTCTTAATAAGAAAGAAAAGGAATTTTGCTTTCATATATTCAAAAGGTCTTCAATAGGTGCTTGTGAAAACAAAAGTTCTACTCTACTTCTTTGGAAACCACGTTATATGGAGAAAAAGCAAACTTTTCATAGTTAAGGTATTACTCTTGAAAACGCAATGGTAAATTTTTACAACATTTAATAAAATTAATTAATAATAATTAATAATCCAATATATGCCTACCGGACCCCATTGTAGTGTTCGCGCAAGGTCGTTTCCAGTTCCGAGTGGCAAGATTGCGACAGGCGGAGACGGATAAAGAGCAAGAGAATCAATTTCCGATAAAATCCACCCGACCGTACCATCACCACCACAAACAAGAATTCGAACATTCGGGAGTCGTCCAAATAGCTCCAAGCTACAAAGGAATCAAAATTTGAAACTAAATTTCGAATTCTGTTTGTTCAGAGTGAAAAAAGACAATATTCCGAGTAAATAAGTTATTTCAAAGTTATTGTTTTCAAAATTTTTAAACGACTCTCTGTCATATATTTTTATTTTTATTTGGAAAGAGAAAGTTAGAGTGCAATAACATGCTGTTTTGCTGTGTTAAGAGAATATAAGCATTCTTTTCTAATGTTCGAAAGCTATTGATATTTCTACAAATAGAAAAATTCAGATTCCAATCTTTGAGTTTCAGAACAGCCAAATCATCATTTTTTCAATATATTAAGTAAAAATGGAAGCAGTGAAATTAACAAAATTCTTTCAACGAAGTTGCAACACAATATGATACGTTTTCGGAGCTTTTTTTATTGCAAATAATGCACGATTAATCAATCGTCTATCTGAATTAGTGAAAAACCTCGCATAATAGTAAATTCAATTATTTACCATTTCAGGAATTAAAAATTATTTACAATACTTCATCCAGAATCATTAAGTTGCCTATATTTTAATTAGGAGATTGATTGCATCTTTCTTTTTGATTTATTTTTCATTTCATATGTAACATCTGGATGCCAGGATATCATGTGATTTCCAACCAGTCATTTTTCAAGCAATTCTTGTAGTGATCAGCACATAGATAAAGGAGTCTTTAAGTTTGCTGGATGTCATTGGTGAATGGATAGCGTCTAATTCATCAAGGCATTTTATTTTTGAAAATATTTTATGATGTTTTTGCACTTTTACGCATATCTGTGAATTACGCCTGCTGTTAAAATATCCAAAGCGTTAATATTTTGCATGAAACCCCATTTTAATATTGAATTTTATTATCATAGAATCGATGAGCAAAGATGGGATTTACTCGAATTCAGAAAGATAGGAATTCAATACGAAATAACCCTAAAAATAACCTTATCACATTTTCAGTCTAACTAGACTATATTGTAGTTGCAAAATGCACCATTATTAATTTCAGTCTCAAATTGTTATGGTACATAACCTAAGGCATTCGTTTCACTAAACAATGCCTTTAGTCAACTGGAGGATAAGAGAGTGGAAGTTAAGACTGAACCACTCAACTTTACTGGCAGTTTAATCAGCGAAATGCGCCCTCAAATTTCCATCTCTCGTCCGAACAGACTTAGTCATAGTTATTTTTTTCAAATGGTATTCTTAATTTAAATGTGTTAACGAGTATCGCTATGGGACTGAATAATTCAATTTAGTAACTAATTATTACTTTATTCAATTGCAAGGAGAATAATTTACTGTAACGACTATTATAATAGTATTTTACCTCGATTTTGACCTTAAGACAACTAGTTTTATATCTAGTGTACTTTTGCCTGGCTATAATTAATGTTAGACAGAACAATTTAAAGATAAAATGCCCAAAAGTTCAGAGAGCTGACTGCTTATCTAAACGAATATAACAATTTGAGCGAAAATTTTTGCTATTGAAAAATTGTCAAGTTGAAATAATGCGCACGGTCGAAATGCTAGATCTTTCAGTAATGAAGAAATATAGTAATTTTAACAGACAAGCTAATTAAATTCAAAATGTGTCGTTATTCCAAGCTAATTATCCAAAAAAATCAATAGTTGCAGTGCAAAGAACTATATATGGCTCTCAATTCAAAATTATTTATTATTTCCAATAAATAATGTTCTAAACAAACATTATTTCAAGAGAGAATGAGAAACGTAAAATATAATCTCCTCGGGATAAATATTTAATTTTTATACTTTCATTGTCTCCTTGTTTAAATGTATTCAAAACTGGAGCATCATTGAGTGTTAATGAGAATCTGTCTTGACTGAGCTCCGCCACGTTAAAATATCTCATTTTCATTTAACGTATTTGAAACCACGTTCAGTTACTCTAAAATGCATGTCTAACCTTGAGTACAAAGCAGTATCATATTCTAATAACACCTAATTAGATAAGCATACTTAATATATTTGAGAGCATAATCAATTCACAAAGTTATAAAAGGAATTTTTTTATTTGGAGCCGTACTTAGAACTGGGACACCATAATGATTAAAAGTTAAAAAGAAACAATAATCATTGCAAACCAAGTAATTAATCAATTATTTAGGTACAAACATCGCAAATGCGAGTAGCATATTGGATCATGACCACTCAAATCTTGAATTTAAACATTGGAACAGGGATGTGCGATAGACTTACCTCCACGTGGTGCACCCTGGGCAACGTATACTCATACGGCAAAAAAGTCTTTTAATCGGTAGTTGACTTCTGACTTCAAACTACCATCACCTCACTTTATGTCATATTCGACTACTACCACAGTACTCATATCACCTTTTTTCTACCTTCGTATCTGTCTCTTTTACATCTCTGAAACACTGTTCTGTTCCCCCCAACCAACTCAAATTTTTTCACTTTGATGTTCCATCCCCTCTGTGAAGCCTGAAGTCAGCTAAAGGGCTAATGATAACTGTCAAAACGCCTGCCATTTGATATAAATATAAATAAATACATTGGAACATGAAGAAAATGAGTAGTTAACGTAATTAATTTAAAGACGTTAATACGTCAGGCCCTTATACTAGACCGACTAAGTTAGTTCTAACTATTGTATAAACTAAATTTGATTGCTATTTATCAGAAAATAATAATGCAAAGAGGTTTAGTCAAAATAGTAACTTAACAAGACTAAGAAAGCACTATATAATTTTCCAAAGTTAAGATACCTGTCAAGAAATTGAGTAGACAGGATTTAAGAAAAGAAACTTCGAAAAAAGCAAATGAGTATATATATATAGTTGAAATTCTATGAATCTGTCAAGAAAACTTTAATATATTTCTAAATTGTCCAACCGCTAGCCCATTTAGTAGGCATTTTCTACTGGTAAAATAATGACATTTTAATAGTTAACTACGTGCGAAAAAAATGTTGAAAAAGATGCAGAAGACGCATCGGACCCATTTAAGACAAAAACCAATAGAATAGTGAATATCGGCTGCATTTATATTTGTGCACGCATCTAAAAATAAGAAAATGGCTTCAATGGGCTCAATTAAATGAAATGGAAACACTCGAACCTCTTGACGATATTCGATATTTGATGAAAGTATTGCTTAGCAATGCACCAACTCCAGTAAATCCTAAGGGGGGTTTGGGGGGAGGGGACTTGAGTCAGCCAATAAGCATAAGCCTTGGTGAGTCATTATTTAGAAAAAAGAAGTTGCTAGGACCAAACAGGAAGTACTCTTGGTTTATTTGCCCAAACTAATCCATTAATCAAGTGGTGCATTTCTCCTGTCAGTGTCGAAGATTAAGCCTTTTAAATAAACGTATACTAAGTTCACAAAATAGAAATGAAATTTTCAATTAAGGCAAGAGACAAAGCCACTCTAATCCGGGCCTCCAGTTGGAAATATTCATAGTTCCTTTTACACTTTTAGATCTAATCTTACGATCAGAGATTATTATATTAAATGTTTTTCAATGTTCTGCCTAGTTAACTAAATGCGATAAACAACAGAACAAGCACAGAATAGACCAACATAATATTCCCAGTTTTTAGACACAGATCGATACAAAATATCTTGAAATTATAATAGTTTAAGGTTATTTTAAGTGTAATATTCGTTAGTTAATCTTTGGACAACTGAAGAACTTGGAGTGTGGATTTCAGGACCTTTTGTCAAAAAAAATCAGTACCGATTCACTAAAGTTTCGACACATTACTTGACATGTCAATGAGGATTCAGAGTGCCCATATGCACTCATTTGCAAGACACTTGCTAAGTTGCCACCGTGTCAAGATGACCTCTTCCTCCTCCCAGCCAATTGAATAGTCCGAATTTCGAGACTCATAGACTGATTTACATGGCCTAACACTCTCCTTCTGAAGAGAGCGTCACTATTGCAAGAACTTCTTTGACTTAACCTGGGAATAAGTTAGTCATGAAGTGGAATTCCGATGATTCATACTTAGGCCAAACAATGCTGCCTTGCAAAATGGACGCACACTCGGTTACTTCAAGCAATCTCAACACCTGATTGGATTCTGAGATCAAGCCTGGGGACTGGTGGTTGAAATACTATTGCCACCTTCAATAACTGCATTTCCTCGAACTTTGTTGAGATTTAATTTCCGTTCTAAGAAACTAATCTTTTGATGTGTCAGTTAGAATTCCTAGGAAAAAAATGAGCATTTTTGTAGGTGAAAACCTAAATTTTCAAAAATTTGCATAGTTGTTTAAATGAGCTGACTAACATTACTGTTGTCTTTTTAGTTTTGGAGTAAATTTTACTTTCAAGGCATTGACGTGTTTTTATTGAGTTCTGGGTTTGTGTCCATTTTGGGAGGCTTAAATGATCTTAAAATTCTTTTACGGCCTTATTGAAACCTAAAATGGCACACTTAATGTAGGACTGCTTTATATTTTGGTAAAATTAAAACCACCATTACTTAAAGCCATTCGTGAAACGCATTTTTTGAGTATGGCCTTTGTAAATGAAAAAAAGAAACACCATAATCGATATCATGAGAGCAGCAAGCGGTGAAAAGGTGGTGGCTCTTTTCGAGATGAGTACTTGGTCATATTGTACGAAATATACCAATCGTAAGTTAGGTCTTTTATTTCATTACAAGCAATATCAACTTTAAAATTTCGATTTCCGTTGAACATAAAAACCGAAATTAAACAGTGCTTGCTTCCGCATTTTATTCACTTGTTAATAACAAGTTGAATATATATAAAATAAGCTTTCATTACTTTCTATTTTATGGACATTTTGAAATGTCCATATACAAATATCAAAATATTCAAAGTTCAAACAATTTATTTCAAACCCTTTTCTTAATTATCTTTTTTTCAGTCCTTTTTGATTTTATTAATTTTGACAATGGTTTCATTGACGAATGGTAGATTATTGCAAGTGAATATAAAAATCGATTTCTTTCAAGTGCGCATTCAAACAATTGGAT